TAGTACCACTTGTATGTAAATTTCATGACTGTCAAAAAGAGAACATTTTTATGAGTCTATGGTCTTTTCCATTATTCCTCTCCACGAGCGTGATCTTAATTGACCCTCTTGTCCTTACATCCTCATCTCCAATTCACTAATCTCATGACACAGCTAAAGTGCATATGTGTATAAATATATGTCTCTCTATGTATACATGTAGATATACATAGAAATTCATACACAAACTGCATAGCAGTTTCTTATATACTGCAATTAATTTATAAATGAGCTTTACCAATGACTTTGCTATATCTGTGTTCCTGGAACACTCTGCCCACACCTTTCTGAACTTTTTATAATTTAAATGTATTTTTCCAGGAACATGATGCTTTCTAAGCATTCTTTTTATCCAGACCTCAAAAGAAACATCTATTTGCTACTGAATTCCCATCTGTATTACCCATCATAGCCTCACTTTATTTGCTACAGCCACATGAGTGCCCCACTGCTTTGCAAATTTCACATGTATAGAGTAACACTCATGGTCTTTTTTGGTCTTTTCATCACTACCTCTCCTCTAGTGTTCTTCATCACAGAGCATAGCACCAAATGCTCTTCATCACAGAGCATAGCACCAAATGCTCTTAGCTACAAGCCAGTAACCTGGGCTCTATTCTTTTTTTTTAAATTTTTTTAATTAGTGAAACACCATGAGGTACAGTTGTAGATTTACAATTTTTTGTGCTTGGGTTTCGATTATACAATGATCAGATACCCATCCCTCCACCAGTGCCCATTTTCCACCACCATGGATAATATCCCCCCCACCCCCATCCCCCCATCCCCCCTACCTCTGTGGCAGGGCAATCCCCTGTGTTCTCGCTCTCCTTTTGGGTGTTGTGGTCTGCAAAAGAGGCATTGAGTGGCAAACATGTTCAGTCCATAGTCCACTTTCGACATGCATCTCCCCTCCTGGGAGGATCCTCCAAACACCCTTTATTTGGTGTTCCCTTCTCTATCTGAGCTGCCCTTTCCTCTAGAATGCCCGACTGGCCACTAAGCTATGGAGTAATCCTCCTGGTGCTGATCTCAGCTATTCTTGGGTATTAATCTCATATTTTGTTACTTTATATCCCCCAGATGAATGCAATCTTTCTATGTCTATCCCTCTCTTTCTGACTCATTTCGCTTAGCATGATACTTTCCATGTTGTACCACTTGTATGTAAATTTCATGACTTCATCTTTTCTAACAGCTACATAGTACTCCACTGTGTAGATGTACCAAAGTTTCTTTAACCAGTCATCTGTTCTTGGGCATTCAGGTTTCTTCCAGTTTCTGGCTATTATAAAGAGTGCTGCAATGAAGAAACAAATGCAGATGTCACTTCGACTATACATTTTTGCCTCTCTGGGATATATTCCCAGGAGTGGTATTGCTGGGTCAAATGGGAGCTCAATTTCTAATTTTTTGAGAATCGTCCATACTGTTTTCCAGAAGGGCTGAACCAGTGGACATTCCCACCAACAGTGAAGGAGTGTCCCTTTCTCGCCACATCCGCGCCAGCATCGGTTGCTTTTGTTCTTTTGAATGTGGGCCAGTCTCTGAGGTGTGAGATGGTATCTCATTGTGGTTTTTATCTGCATCTCCCTGATTAATAATGATGTAGAGCATTTTCTTATGTGCTTTTTTGCCATTCGGATTTCTTCTTTGAGAAAGTTTCTGTTCATTTCATTGCCCCATTTTTGGATGGGGTTGCATGTTTTCTTCTTGTGGAGTTTAACCAGTATTTTGTATATCCTGGATATCAACCCCTTGTCAGATGTGTATTCGGCGAATATCCTTTCCCATTCTGTAGACTGTCTTTGTATTTTGGTCACTGTTTCTTTGGAGGTGCAGAAGCTTCTTAGTTTAAGATAGTCCCATTTATCTATCTCTGTTTTCACTTGCTCGGCCAGTGGCGTGGCATCTTTGAAGATACCATTAGCTTCAATGTCATGGAGGGTTTTGCCAACTTTGTCTTCAATGTACCTTATGGTTTCTGGTCTGATGTTGAGGTCTTTAATCCATTTTGATCTTACTTTTGTACATGGTGTTAGGCTGGGCTCTATTCTTGATGTAGCCCTTTCCTTCAATTCCCCCTCTGGCCAGTGAATCTACTTTTGTTGTCTGTTCTGCTTCTTCATGTAACGTGGACTCCTCCCGTTCTCATTACAGCAATTATTTTATTTCACACTTTAATGTGATAACTATAATTGCTCCATAACTAGTACTACTCTACAAATAATCATCAATCATCACTCTCAATGGTAAGAACGTTCATTTGAAAATATGACTCCAGTAGTAAGACTTCTCATACAATCTTTGAGATTAAAGTTTAGATTTCTTAACTTAACATACACATTTCTTTATTTTAGGTCTCCAGTGTATTTGTTTATACCTCTTCCCTTAGTTAATCTACTACTTTCCTTTGATAACTATTATACTCTCAAGTCATACCAACCATTTTCAGATGTAACTTTCCATGCTTACTTAACAGTTATTTCTGCCAGTTTGTATTTGCCTTGGAAGGTATTTCCTCTAGCTGACCTCCCACCTACATCCACTCACACCCCAGTGGCTTTCCTCACTAGTTCCTAAACACTTTCTAAGACCTGTCTTAAAGCTTACTGCTTCCTGGATGGATGTATCAACATATCATTACACTTACCATATTTAATGTTATCTCTTATATAAGTTAGAGTTCACAACATAGTAAATCACTACAGTCTGTATAGTATTTTTTGTGAGTGACATTTTATTGGAACACACTCACTTATGCACAATCTACAGTGGATTTTGCACTTCAGCTAGAGAACTTGGTAGGTGGAAAAAAGAGTGCTAATCCTAAAAAGGCTAAAGTGTTTCCTCTCTGTCCCTTCCCAGAATACAATTCCTGGAAGAAAAGTGATCTGATTGCTACATCTATCACTTTATCAATCAACAGGAATGATTCAGCTAATCTAGATAACTAAACAGGTATACCAGGTCTCTCATTTCTCCACTTGTATCTCTTCAGAATTTGTTCACTCAAAGAGAAATAAAAATAGATACTGATGATTATTTAATCAAATTTTATACGACTAGCCATGTTCCCTTGCTAGAACCCCCAAACAAGCTCTCAAGTAGTATTTGCCAATCCCTGCTATGAATCAGTGCTTCTCAACCCTAGCAATGTATAGTCAAGTCATAATCAAACAACCTGACAATATCCTGATACCCAAATCACATCTCTCAGCAACTCCACCTTAATTGTTAGGTTGTCAGTAAGTGATTTTGTGTAAATAATAGAAAAATACATAAAAGGTAGCATCTACTGTGTAATAAATGTGTTTTAGGATCTATAACAAGTGCTATACATAATAATTAATCATTATCCTAAACATGCAAAGTGCTCAGTATTCTTTTCTCCATTCAACAGGTGAGAAAATTGAGGTTGAAAGAGTTTAATGGATTCATCCAAAGTCATACAGCAGTGACATATAGAACTGTGATTTGAAATTGGCCGAATGTGATTTCAGTACCTCTGTTTTTAAAAAAATTTACTATGTCGCTTTGAAATAGAGAAGTAGCTTATTTTACTTATTGACAATGAGATACTTGAAACTGAAGGTTAGAAGGAGCACCTTTGAAAATGCATGAATATGGGAAGATTATAATGATGGAATCACTTAAAATTAGCAATAATAACAACAATTTCTAGTACTTTCAGTGTCAGACATAGGTGATAATTTCATTTTGTTTTTATTGAGTAATTTGAGGTACACAGTTATAAAATTTATGGCTAATAACTTTAAGGGCAGTCTCCTTTAATCCTTACAACCCAGATAAGAGTTTTTTTTCAGGCTGAAAGAGCTGTATAACCTTCTAGAGGACTTCAAGTAAATTGAGAATGTGAGAAGGTATTAGGGGCATTAGAGCATCAGCAAGAAGAAAGGGATGTGTGATAGATATGCTAGCCCGAAACAATACTACCTTAATATATTCACTTGGGAGAAGTTTTGCCTATACAACAAGAATAACTACTACTATTATTGCTACTACATCAATACTATTTTGTAGCACTATATACACACAAACATCTTTAATAATCTGATGTATATTATCTGATATACCATCTGATATATTATGCTATATATTACCTGATATATAATTACATTATATATTATCTGGTATATACTATATATAATATATAATTATATTATCTTGCATATAATTATATTATCCAAATATATATTATATATTGTCTGATGTTTGATTTCAACTAAACTTAGTAAGTAAAGTATTATAATTTTTATTTTACAGACTAAAAATTTATACTTAAGTGAGGGTCATAACATTTTCCAAATCACACAGTTGCAGAATAATGAACTTGAATTTAAAGTCAGATTATTCTGTATCTATCATACTTATGACTGACTTAATTCAGCACAATAAACTCCATTTTCAACCACATAGCAGCAAATTGATTTCATAGCTGTGTAGTATTTCATTGTGCATGCATACCATAATTTCTTTATTCAGTCATGTGTTCTTAGCTATAAGGGTTGTTTCCATATTCTGGCTACTGTGAATAGTGAGTCAATGAATACAAGAGTGCAAAGTCTTTGCTAGAGCTTTTGGGCCCTTGTGGTAGATGAAAATAAGCTGAATTGCTGGATCATATGGATCATTACAATTAATTTTTTTTTGAAAAGTGTCCATATTGTTTCCCAAAAAGTCTGGAAAAGTTAATATCCTGAAAAGCAATGAATGAGGGCCCCTATTCCCCACATTCATGAACACGGGTCCTTCCTTCCTTCCTTCCTTCCTTCCTTCCTTCCTTCCTTCCTTCCTCCCTTCTTTTTCCTTCCTTCCTCCCTTCTTTTTCCTTCCTTCCTTCCTTCCTTCCTTCCTTCCTACCCACCCTCCCTCCTTTCCTTCTTTTTTTCTTTCTTTCTTTCTTTCTTTCTTTCTTTCTTTCTTTCTTTCCTTCTTTCTTCCTTCCTTCCTTCTCAGAACACTTTCCATCACCTGCTTCCCAAGAACTCATATTGCACAGTGATCTTATGTCATCATCATCATCTAGAGCTCAAGTTGGCATAGGCCTTCTGAGTCCTCCCCACCTCCCGCCTCTCCCAACTAACCAACTCCCTCCGCGCCTGCCCAGGATCTCGCCCCATCCCTGAACACCCAGCTCCCATGCTCCACATGGCCAAACATGTTTTTATAATCCTCTCAGGCCACTAACATAGAAGGGGTCTGATGATATAAGGAAAATCCTTCGGGTTCATGTAGGGGGCTGCAGAGGAGGCTGGGCAGGTCCCTACAGTGTCACAAAATGCCCATCACACCATCAGCCTTGAGGTCCTGGCATTGGCCCTCAATCTGTTGTTCTTTATAATGTTTTCCAGTCTAACTCGTGTGAAGTGGTCTCCTTGAATTTTTATTTGCATTTCCCTGAAGATAAGTGATATAGAGCATTTTTCCATATATCTTTTGGCCATCTGTATGTCTTTTTTGAGGAAGTATCTGTTAATCTCTTTTCCCCCATTTTTGATATTTTTCTTGTACAGTTCTATCACTGCTTTATAAATCTTGAACATTAATGCTTTATTGGAAGAGTAGTAGGCAAATATTTTCTCCCACTCTGTGAGGTGTCGTTTTATTCAGTCCTCATTTCTTTTGTGGTGTAGAAGCTTCTTAGTTGCAGTCCCATTTGTTTAACTTTGCTTCCATTTGCTTGGTGAATTTCATTGAATCATTGAAGATAACTCTATATTCAGGTTCATAAAGTGTTCTACAGCAGAGCCTGGCAATCTACCTATGTTTTAATATATAATTTATAGATTAAGGTGTGATATATATGCATATCTTTAGTCAATTTTGATTTAAGTTATGGACTCAATCTAGGTGACCAACGACAGATTAATGGGTTATGAATATGTGATCTATACACACATGGAATACTATGTAACTGCAAGGAATGATGAAATTTGCTGCACTGTGGTTGGAACTGGAAGCTATGATGAGTGAAGTAAGCTAGAGAAGATAGACAATCACAGGATGGTCTCACTTACCTGTCATATATAGAATATTGAATGAGGAAATGTATTGTAGTAAAGGGGGATGACTAGATCACCCTTGGTCCCAGTGATTATAAAGAAGAAGTATAGAAAAAGTAAGAAGTCAAAGGGGGAAGGAGAGAAGGGGAAGTAATGGGTGAACAAGCAACAGGTTTAAACAGGTATTTAAACTGGTGATATGGGTGAGTGGTATAGCCAGACATCCAAAACATAGACTCAATGACAATGAAAATGGAATATCTAAGATGCAACGACTGAAACTTTGCAATGTGTCTTTCAAATTGACATGTGTGATTAGGGTGGGTTTGGGGTGGGGAAGGAATATGGGAAAACTGGTTGAGGGAAGTTGACACTGGTGGTGGTATTCACGTAGAAGATTATATGCCTAAAACTCAACTATCAATAAATTTGTAGATCACAGTTCTTAAAAAATTTTAAAGTAAGAAAAGGGAAAAGTGTATTTTTCCATATGACAGACCTCGTTTCATAGGACCCTTTTTAAAAATTTTTATTAGTGAAACACCATGAGGTACAGTTGTAGACTTACATTTTTTTCATTTTTTATAATTTTATTTATTGAATCACCATGAGAGAAGTTACAAAGCTTTCGGGTCTAAGTCTTGGTCATAAAATGAAACACCCATTCCTTCACCAGTGCCCATTCTCCACCCCCAACAACCCCAGTATAGCCCCATCCCACACCCTCCCCCTACCTGTGGGGCAGATGATTTCCGCATTTCTCTCTCTCTCTCTCTCTCTCTCTCTCTCTCTCTCTCTCTCTCTCTCTCTACTGTGATCTCAATTCAATATCTTGACACCAGACCCACCATTATTATTTGAGATTTTACCTCAACACTCAGTTCTGCTGAAAAGGCAACAGTAGACAATTTGTATTCTATTGATGGTTATAAATAACATATGATATCATGTGGCTGCAGTAGTTGCCGCGCGATTTTGAAATGCCGAAACTTTAACCTTAAATCTGGAGGGATTTCTGACAAAACCTCCTGGGTTCCGAGATTTGGTCCTGAGTCCCTGGTACCATGTTCATTAAGCTGCTTGATCAGGAGCCAGAAAGGCCGTTCATGGGTGGTAACTCGGGGTCTCATTGGGATGGGAGTAAAAGGCCAGTTCCACCCCCAGCCCATGAGGTCCTGCGTGTCTCGTCACTGAGGACCCAAACCTGACTTTTCAGTGGCCTCTGGAGGATGGTGGCCACCGAGTCACCTAGGGAGAGCAGGCGGAGGGACAACACCCTTTTCCCTCTGGGGTGGCCCGGCGACAGTAACCTACTGCGGGGTCTGGATGCATTTCTGCCAAAAGCCACTGGTTTTCGAGATTTGTTTCTGAATTTGGTCCTGAGTCCCTGGTACTATGACCATTAAGCAGCTTGATCAGGAGCCAGAGAGGCCGTTCGTGGGCAATGACTTGGGGTCTCTTTGGGATGGGGAGGAAAAGACCGGCTCCACCTCCATCCCATGAGGCCCTGTGTTTCTCGTCACTGTGGGTCTAAAACTGACTGTCCAGTGGCCTCTGGAGGATGGTGGCCACTGGGCTGCCAGGGGGAATAGGTCAAGGCACAAAACCTATTACCACCTGGGTTGGCCCAGCACCGGTAACCTACTGCAGGGACCGGACTCATTTCTGCCAAAAGTCTCTGGGTTTCGAGATTTGTTTCTGAGTCTCTGGCATCATGGCCATTAAGTAATTCAATCAGGAACCAGAGAGTCCATGCCTCTGATTACATAGCCGAGCCGGAGGTGGTTTGTGGGTGTATCTCCCACATACCTAAATTTTGGCCCTTTACTTTCTTGGTAAACTTTGCCCCAAGTTTTGGGGGTCTGGCCAAAGGCACAGCAGTAATTTTGGGGTATCTGCAAGTCTGAAGACGCCATCAGGCTGCTGATGCACTGCCTCACAGGTACAGATTGACCTTTTGGCGGCACCAGAGCCCCAGACTTACAAATTTTTGTGCTTGTGTTTCAATTATACAATGATTGAGTACCCATTCCTCCACCAGTTCCCGTTTTCCACCACCACTGATCCCAGTATCTCTCCCACCCCCCTAAGCCCCCATACCACCCTGCCTCTGTGGCAGGGCATTCCCTTTTGTTCTCTCTCTCCTTTTGGGTGCTGTAGTTTGCAAAAGAGGCATTGAGTGGTGATCATGTTTGGTCTATAGTCTACTTTCAGCTTGCTTCTCCCATCCTGGGAGGATCCTCCCAACACCCTTTATTTGCTCTTCCCTTCTCTATCTGAGCTGCCTTTTCCCTTAGCATGTGCGGCTGGCCTCCAAGCCATGGAGTGAACCTCCTGGTACTTATTTCAGCTATTCTTGGTGTTAGTCTCCTATTTTGTAACTTTATGTTCCCCAGACGAATGCAATCTTTCTATGTCTGTTCCTTTCTTTCTGACTCATTTTGCTTAGCATGATACTTTCCATGTAGTACCACTTGTATGTGTATCTACACAATGGAGTACTATGTAGCTGTTAGAAAAGATGAAATCATGAAATTTACATACAAGTGGTGCAACATGGAAAGTATCATGCTAAGCGAAATGAGTCAGAAAGAGAGGGATAGACATAGAAAGATTGCATTCATCTGGGGGATATAAAGTAACAAAATATGAGATTAATACCCAAGAATAGCTGAGATCAGCACCAGGAGGATTACTCCATAGCTTAGTGGCCAGCCGGCATTCTAGAGGAAAGGGCAGCTCAGATAGAGAAGGGAGCACCAAATAAAGGGTGTTTGGAGGATCCTCCCAGGAGGGGAGATGCATGTCGAAAGTAGACTATGGACTGAACATGTTTGCCACTCAATGCCTCTTTTGCAGACCACAACACCCAAACGGAGAGAGAGAACACAGGGGATTGCCCTGCCACAGAGGCAGGGGGAACGGGGGGATGGGGGTGGGGGGATATTATCCATGGTGGTGGAAAATGGGCACTGGTGGAGGGATGGGTATCTGATCATTGTATAATCGAAACCCAAGCACAAAAAATTGTAAATCTACAACTCTACCTCATGGTGTTTCACTAATAAAAAAGAAGAAAAGATGAAGTCATGAAATTTTCATAGGACCTTTTGTTGAAGTGGCTTCCCTTGCTTCACTTTTGCTCCTTTATCCATAGTTTTAAGGATCTGTCTTTGGAACCTCAATTCTATTCCATTATTCTGAGAATATTTCCTTGTTCCAATATGGCTTATCTCTTAACAAATGTTATTATAAAACTAATATTTACTTTTCAAAATAATAAACCAAGTGGAATATTCACTTAATCACTTAATCACGTAATCCCCGTTATTCATCGATTTTTTCGAGCGGGTGCCAGTAACGTCTCCATTAATCCCGGTTGCGTGCTAGCGTAGCCCAATGGTATCTGTTCGTTTTAGGAACATGTAGAGCCTCAAACCGATGATTTAGCGTCTTGACGAAGAAGTCTGACCATCTTATAGGTGGGCGTCCACATGATCTTTTGATGTCTCGTGGAATCAAATCAGTAATGGCTCTAGTCCAGCGGTTGTCTGTAAACCTCATTACATGTCCAGCCCATCTGATTTTTGATGTCTTGGCAAATGAGACAGCGTCCCTGATTCTTGAGCATTGACGAAGATCAGAACTCCGGATTCTATCTCTCATTTGAGTGAATCGTGATATTCCAAGCATAGTTCTTTCAATTCCTCTTTGAGAGACCCGAATAGTGTTCTCATCCTGTTTTCGTAGGGTCCAGGTTTCTGAGGCATATGTTAATGCAGGAAGAATAGTGGAATCAAAGAGATGTGCTCGTAGCTGGAGGTTCTTTGTCCTTTTAGTTATTTCTTCAATGCTCTTGAAGGCATTCCAAGCCGCTCTCTTCCTCCTGCGCAACACAGGTGTCAGGTCATTCATCATGTTGATTTCTCGACCTAGGTATATATAACTGTTGCATTCGGAGATGGTGGTTCCGTTGAGAGCGAATGGAGTGTCAGGAACAAGGCTGTTTCTCATAAACAT